CAACTCCCTCCTCTGCTTGGACCCCATCCTGCAGGCTCGAGCCACCACCTTTCCCTTCTCCAGCCTCTCGCTTTAGAGAGCTTCTTGACCAAAAAGGAGACAAAGAACACAAGTTTTTTCCCAATTAAGAAAACTTCTTGATAATAAAAACGGTCCAAGGAGAGCAGAGTTGGGCACAGCACTCTTATGCACAACTCTGGGGTGAACCCAGATGTGGAACCCCAAGACAGTGGGGGGGGGGTAAAGCCCCACTGATGCCATCTGCTCCCCTGGGTGCCACCACCAGCCCTCCATCCAGCCAAGGGGTTACCTGCTGATGGTGTTTTCCTGCAGAGGCTTCTCCTTGACCCCTGGCGATTTCTTCTTCTTCCCTTTTACTGCAGGGGGCTGCACGTCAGGACAGAGCAGTGTAAGAGAAAAGGAAGTCCATGGAGCAGGTTCAACACCTACAAAATACTTGGGACAGTCACAAGGGTCACCCCAATGTCCAGGCATGGAGAAGGGTGGCTGATACCTGCACCGTGCATGGTGTTTCCTCCAGCTCCTTCTTCACAGTCTTCCTCCTGGGTGCCTTCGGCACCTCCTCTTCCCCCTTCCCCGACTCGCTCTTTCGCTTCCTGGGGACAAGAGCAAATTTGTCCCACCCCGGCCAAGCAGGCAAAGGCTGCAACAAACCTCTTGGTGGTGGAAACAGGCCGTGGTACGATTCCACACTGCCTAATCCTTGCGTCCAGCAGCACTAAGAAAGCGCTCCCAAAAAGAAATTGGAAGGGATTTCCTCACTGACCATTCTAGGGTCAAGTTGCCCAGCAGAGCCAGTTGCAGAAAGTATGATAATGTAATGCTGGAGGCCCCCCAAAATCCCCTGCCATGCCCCATGGCACCCACCTGCTACTGCTGCTCTTTGCCTCACTGGCCCTTGAGACTCCCATGGCTCTGTCATCCACCAGCACTTCCAGATGTGACACAGGGTTAGACAACAGTGTCCCCAAGGATGGCCACTGCAATGAGACCGAGATGGCAGATGGCCAGTAGCACCTCATTTTTGCTCTCAGAGAAAAAACCCAGCAGATGCTCGCTCCACAGCTTGACCCTGAAGTCTGCAGGTACCCACAGGGTTAAGCTCAGCGTTAACAAGGACGCGATTAAAACACCAAATGGAAAAAAACTTTAGCTCAGTCCCTGGGCTGCTCTTGGCGATGGTAAAAATAAAATTGTTGCTCAAATAAGAGGAAAGCCCCCCTCAAGCAATATAGGAATTCACAGTTCCAGGTGGGTAGATGGGGGCTGTGTGCTGGGGCGGATTTGCACCCCCTCAGAACAGCCCAGGGTATGCAGCAAGGATTATCCAGGCCCTAATTACACCCAGAAAGCCACAACAATAGAAAATAACGGAACACAATAAAGAAACAAAAGCAAAGTTAAGATATTGACTCCCCCCACCAAAGCAGGCTGCTGGGCCACCATCGCCCAGCTACCACCTCTCCTTCTCATGGCTGGAGCAGCCAGATCCCCCCAGATCACTGATCCCCCCTAGAAACTCAAGACCTCAGAGGGTGCAAGAAATAAAGATTAAATTCAAACAATGTCAAGGTAGTCCACATCCACAAAGGGCCTTCAGCACTGAGGAGAAAAGGGGGCTTTTCCAGGAGAGAAAACAAGCTACAAAGCACTGCAAGACACCCTGCAAACTTTTCAAGGAGTAGAAAACACATTGAAAAACTTCCCTATTTTACCAGCCTTTGCCAAGCCCTAGGCACTTGCAGCTGCCCAGCGAGACCACGCTCAGTCAAACGCAGGGTGACACACGCCTTCAAAACCACCCAAACAGAAGAAGACCTCACCCCTTGCCCTGCTGCCTCCCTAAGGGTAATACCCCACTGCAAACAGCTTATTTAAAGACTCCCTCAGCCCTGATTGGAGGCCCCCAACCCAAGATGCACCCTGGGAAGTGAAGTTTTAACCTAAAAGCTGAATTTGAGGAGATCCTCCAACCAGCATCTCCTTAGCAAGGAGACCTGCTAGGGGGAAAATGCTTTGCACAGCTCCATTGGAAGGTGGGGCCAAACCTATTGCTTTAAAAACATCATAGGAAAATCTCCCTGCCAGATAATACACCCCCCCACCTCCAATTAGATTATTAAATTAGTGCCTAAAATCCAGCTTTTCTCATCGGTCTCTTACCTACCAAAGCCCCATGGTTGGATTTGAGGAGGTCTTTGAATCCAGACTGGGGGTGCACAGGCCAGGTGCTATATGCTGTGACCCATAGGGCCCCCCCCCCCCCCCCCAAATCCCTCCCCCAAATCCCTCCCCCATCCCCTCTTCTCCAGCCCTATTCATGCAGGTGAGTCTATTGTTTTCACCTGCCCACGTTGTCATCCAAGCCCTCCCCACAGCTGAGTCTCAAAACGGCCCCAACCATCCTCAACCCCACGGAAGCAACGCTGCTGGGAAACACCTGGTGCAAAGGGGCCACGGGGGTGGGGTGGGGTGGATTTTACACTGCAAAGCTTCCCCCCCCTCCCCCCCAAAAAAAAAAAAAAAAAAATCCTGGAGTTTGAAGGAAAAAAGAAGGCATTGCCCCACGCTGAGATCCCCTGCCGGGGTGAGTAGCGGGGGCCACTTGTTCCCCTGGGAAGATGCTGCCCAGTTTGTGGCGGGGAGCGGGTCACCCCCCCCCAGAGGCAAGGCTGGCTCCGGGAAAGCCCCTTTGATCCTGGGTTGCGCCACCCGGGGGGGAAAAAGCATCCCAGCCACCTTTCTTGCTGGATGAGTAAAAGTCGTCAAGGGATGGGAGCCAGCCCCGGGGCAGGGAGCAGGAGAGGACGACTTCATGCTGGGGCTTGTTTGCTCTTGGCCGCCTTCTGCCAAGCCTATATTTGATTTTCTTCCATTTTCACCCTGGGTCCCATATAGATTTATTCAGCCCTGATGCTTGGTGAAGGTTTTTCCCAAGCTCTCCACGCCAGTTGGCATGTCCTTGATGGAAAACGATGGGGTTTGCAGAGTGGGTGAGCTGGGAGAAACCTGGCCCCACCTGAACCAGCTCCAGTTTGCCCGCCCAAGCGCAACCTGGGTTGAACCGCTTAATAATGAAGATGCATTTCATCAATTTTTATATATTTGCTCTTTGCAATGGGGGGAGATGGGAGCCGGAGGGCTCCATCCAGGGGTCTGCAGTGGGGAAACGTGGATCACAGAAGGGATGTGGCTCATCCTTGGGGAAAACCAGGATGCAACTGGAGTCCTTGGCAGTTCGGTGACACAGCGGGGAGCTGTTGAGGGCCGTATCGATGACAATATCCAGCGAGCTGCGATCTCAATCGGGCTGAAAGCAGCTCCCTCGTCAGCAGAAGAATAAATACTTCTTCCTCCGCGCTCCCCAGTGTGCAGACAATTGCGGCCATGCCATTAAAAGCAATTTTCTTTGCAAACCGCTGCAATATTCATCAGGAGAAGCCTTGCCGCCATTCCAGATGAAACAGTAATTTCACGTTTCTGCTCCAGCAGCTCCTTTTGGATTGGAAAATCCAGGAGGGAGAGAAAAGTCCTTCCTAACATTCTCCTGGGATCGCGTGCAATCCTTGAAGCCCTGACAAGGGCAAGTTGGCTGGGAAATTGTGGAAATGGTTTAATATATTCAGACAGTTATAAAATAAATTCATGCGATATAAAAGCTTTAATGTATGCCAGGCTATTTTTTTTTTCTTTTCTCCTCGTTAAAGGGCTCAATCTGCATGGTGTTCCCCGTGCCCTATTGACATGAACAAGATTAATCATGCACCAGCGCAATCTCATTAACTTCATTACAGAAACGAAGCCAGGCCCTAGTAAAGACTAACAGACTTTTCCGTGGTGACACACACTGGGGACAACCCAGCTCAGCATCCCTGTGCCGAGCACTGCACCCGTTAGGGTCCCGTGTGCATCTTGAAAACTGGATTTTTCCAACCCCTGGACACTTTTCCATGAAATTTTGCAGGATTTCATGCTGTTGCCCAGTCTGGCTCTTGTTTTATGAGCGTGACTGAGTAAAACTGTTCCGTAGTTCAACAGTATGAATCAGAGGGGGGGAAATGAGGTGGGATTTGTCGGCATCTGGCTGGAAAAAGGAAGAAAGTGGATCTTATTTTATTTCTTCATTTAGTTTTCTATTATATTTTGTGGTGTATCGAGTTTTGTACAGGAGCAGGGTCTCATGGCTATAGCAGGGTGAGGGCACCAACAGTCCCGGGTGTTGTGGAATTGCTCGGGCAGCTGTGAGAGCTGCAGCATCACTACCCAGATATTGGCTTTTTTTTTTTCGGGGGGGGTGGGGGGGGGTGGGAGGGGGGGAATATGTGGCCAAGGGGCCACCCAGGGGGGAGCACCTAGGGCAGGAAGCAGCTGGAGCTGGGTGACAGGGTGTGGGGGTGCACGATGGGTGCTGCTTTGTGGCACCCCCAGCCACATCAGCCCAGATGTTGTGCGAGGCGGGGGGGGGGGGATCGTAGGGTTTGAAGGGAGGTGGCGCCCAGATGTGGTCTGGGGGGGGGGGGGGAGCGTCTGGTTGATGGTGGGGTCGTCCAGATGTGGCTGGGGGCGGAGCGATCGCGCATCCAGATGTGGTGCGGGGTGGGGGGGGGGAGGGCGCCCAGATGTGGTGCGGGGGGGGGGGAGAGAGGGCGCCCAGTTGTGGGCGTGGCGCCCCGCGAGGCCCCGCCCCTCCCGTGACGTCCTCGGCGTTCTAATTCCCACCGTTGCCACGGGCGACAGCCTCTCCGCCCCGCCCCTCCCCGAGCCGCTCCGTTCCTCCCCCCCCCCCTCCGCTCTTACCATCCCGCTCTTCCATTGGGCAGCGACGCCGCCGATCCGCGCTGTCCCCGTCTTCTATTGGCCGCAGTCGCGCTTCGCCCCGCCCCCCCCGCCCTGCTTATGCTCCGCGCCGCGACGGGGCTGGCGGTTGCGATCGCTCCGGGCTGGCGGGGCCGGGCGGGGGCACCGGGGGGGTGAGCGGAGGCCTCGGCACCCGGGGGAGGGGGGGGGGCCGCGGATTGGGTCACTTGGCGAAGGGGGTTATTTCTGTAAGGTGGTTTGGGGGACGGGGGGGGCGTCCCTTGGCTGCAGCATCTTTGCAAGGGGAGGGGGGGGGGGTGTCTGTAGAGGTTTGCACACCCCCCCACCCCCATCTGAGGTAGCTCTGTAAGGGGAAGTCTGGGAGGGTTTCCTTCCCCCCCCTCATCTGGAGTAGCTCTATAAAGGGGGGGGGGGGTGTCTGTGGGGGTTTGCACACCCCGTTTGGCTGGGAGGGATCTGTGGGGTTTTACTTCACCCCCCGCCCGCCGGCTGGGGTAGCTCTGCAAGGGGGGGGGGGGTGTCTTTTGGGGTTCCGTGTTGTGTTATGTACACCCCCCCCCCCCCCCCCCAATTTGGGATAGCTCCCCAAGGGAGAAGCGGACAGCAGGCTCGCATTTAACCCGATGTTAGGTGCGTGGGGATTTGCAGCGTAAGAGAGCAGGGGCGAGCGGGGGTTTAAACCCCCACCCAGGACAGGGTGAACATCCCCCCCCAGGGGTTAGCAGGGTGTGGGGGGTAGGCCAGGAGAACCAGAGCAGCCCAAGGAGGGGCCACCGAGCCCCCAAACCCCACCCGGTGAGGTCAGGCAGGAGCCCCCAGCTGCGGGCGCACCCCCCCCCCCCCCCCCACTCTCTGAGCCCGTGGATGCTGCACCCCCGGAGATGATGCCCCCTGAGGAGGAGAGCCCTGATGGCGGTGGGGAAGGGGACGGGGACAGTGGCCTTGTCCTCCTGCGAGCCCTGAAGAGCGGCAGCACCCGGAAGGTGAGGCACGGCGGTGGGGTGGGGGGCACAGGGTGGCAAAGCACCCAGCTGATGCTCCGTGGGGCTGGGTACCTTTGGGTCCGTGGGGGGTGGTGGTCCCCATGAAAGGGGGGGGTGGGGGGTGGGGATGTGCAGGTCCATCCCGGTGATGAAACCGTGTCAGGACGTGGCGAGGGGGGGCTGGATGGGGAAAGGCTTGATGCGCGATGTGCGGTGGAAACAGGTCCAGTAGCTCATCCACAAGCAGAACTGTCCCATTGCTTAATCATCTCTGAAACTCCGCTCCTCTATCCCATCTTCCTCCGCTGGCTCCATCCGCAAGCTTCCTAGTGGTTTAACCGAATTCTCCCATATTTTGGCTTTTTTTCCCCCCTTCCTGCCCGTAGCAAGATGGCCCAGCCAAGCACTGCCTGCCCCCCAGCACCATCGGAGGTACCGGGCAGGGTGTTGCTCTCTTCTTCCCCCGGGAGCTGCCCGCAAGGAAAATCGGTGCAACGGCAACTTGGCTGTGCGTGCGAGATGGGGCCGATAGCTCCGCTGGCGTCACTCGTTTAATTAGTAACAACGGGGTGAAGCCAAAGGGGATTGTCCTCGGGCTGCCACCAACCCCGCTGCTCGGCTTTCCCCGCCGTCCCTTGGGTGTCGATGCAAGCTCCTGGGGTCGAGGAAGCTTTCAAGAGAGTTGCTTGTGGCAAAAAAAAAAAAAAAAAAAAAAAAAAAAAAGTTGGATAAACATTAGTTTTTGGGGCTGTTTAAGTGCGTCTTCCGTTAGGTCTGTCCCCCGGGAGCCAGCCTGAGAAGCCTGCAGTGGGTTCGCCCTGTAATCTGATCTCTTCTTGCGAGTATATAATTTTCAAAACTCGTTCTTCGGCAGCGAGAGGCATTTCCGGAGCCCTTTGGCCAAAAAAAAAAAAAAAAAACCCACCACCTGAAAAAACCCCAACAACCAAAAAAATAAAACTCAGTTGGGCTCTAGAGGTGTTTTGGGTTGTTGTTTTGTTTTTTGTTTTTTTTCTTCGTAAGAGTGCAACCTTGGCTGAGCAAGCATCAATCTGATCTTGAGTCACTTGAGCTTGGCCTCTCTGACTGCAGGCAAAGAGGTTGCAACTTTAAACCAGGTTGGCGTTTACCCAGGGCCTTGACTAAATAGCAGGTGCTGCTTGTAAGGGAAGATTAGCAGGACCCTTTTTTTTCCAATTTATTCTGCATACGGACACACCATTTCCCTTGTAAGAGCAATTAGTTTACCCTGTTTGGGTGTATCGGATGGTAGCACAGAGAAGAATAACATAGGAAAATGTTGCAAAGCTTTAACAGAGGGAAAACTGTCAGGGGATATGCAGCATCTGTCATAACATGATTACTTTTTTAATTTAAAAAACACCTGATTAGATTTCCTATTAATGATAGAAGTTTTTTATTTAAAACAAACTATCAATATAGCATCTTCTAGCTGTTGTGGTTTTTTTCACCCTGAAAGCAGCAGGGGCCACTGCACGTTTGCTCCCTTGCAAGCGATCCTCAATGCTGCTGCGATGGTGAATTTTATTTTTCTTTTTTGCCAGAGTTCACATACTGGGGCTGAAGATTTAATACATCTGTTTCCTGTTGGCTCCCTGCCCTGGCTCTCATGATACCCTGTGCCTCCCCCAGCTCCCCGGAGCAGTTTCACGCTCCTAAAATTCAAGCTCTGGATGAAGGTTTTGCCGTTTAAAAACCCAGTTTGCCATATTTTTATTCCCCCCCCCATTTTATTTTTCTTTCCTCTCACTGAGTGCACTAGCCAGCAGTGAGGGCACTTCATTGGGAAATTTAAAACCTTAATCCTGCACTCGTGTTCGTTTAAAAGGCTGCGTGATGTAACCATATTCTCAATAAAAGGTTTTAGAGGTTTTAGCTGGTAATATCTCCCACAGAAAACCAGCTTGCAGCCGGAGTGCTTCATGAGATTAGTTTCATGATAGGGACTTTTATGTGTAGATAGATATTTGGGGAGTAAAAACATTTTTTTTGTGACCTACTGGCTGTCTTGCAGCGACAGCCCATATTAATTTCTGAAATGCCCTTGACTGGGAGGAGAAAGAAATTATTGATAATCTGTTAACAAGGAGAATTTTAAAGCCCGCTTTTGGGTGCAGAGTGGTTCTCTGGCTTTTGTTTTGCTCTCTATCCCACAGGCTAATGCGGCTAAACCAGGGTCACTTGGGCACTTGTTCTGTGCTGGCCTGACTCAAAAACTCATGGGTTGTAAAGAGGACTATTAATCCCAGTTGACAGCTCTGACTCTATCAAAATAGCTTATTAGACCAGTGTGGTTATGGAAATAAAGCAGGTACTGAGAGCTTGATGTTCCAGTTACCTTATTTCTACAGCAAGCTTTCCAGCTGCTGGATCATCTATCCACTTGGAAACCTCCTCTTCTGGGGACAAAACTCTGTTAGGAAATATTATCGCTCCTGAGAGCAGATAAAAATAAGTTCCTGTCTTTTTTTTTTTTTTTTTTTTTTTTTTTGAGCGGGAGGTGGTGTAAACATTTACTGGGTAAAACCTGCAGGGTTGAGGTCATGCTTCGAGACCACGTGCTCATGGTCGGGGTCGTGGATCAAGGGTACCTCCGCTAATGAGCGTGGTAGCTCATGTGTCAGCGCTTCCTAGAGCTGTAGAAATTGTTGTCATCTTTGGCTGTTCCTTGCCTCCGCGTGGGCGTTTTGCTCGGGATTTACTACAGAGCAAATGTCAATATTCTGGAGTGTGCCTTGATGCGAGCTGGGTGAATTAGTGGAGAGCAAACGCAGCTTGAACTTGACCAAGGCTCATGGGCTCGCCCACCTCCGCCTGAATTATTCTTCTGCCCCCTTCCCCAAGCACTGATCCCCAGCTCTTTAGGCACCATCCCTGCTGGGTTGAAGGTTTCCTTGGTGCGAGCCATACGATTTCCTTGTGCTTTAGCACCTCGTGCTCCTTTGTGTGCCATTTTCTTTGAGTTGTGACCGCGGACTGGTAGTGCTGGAAACGTTGGTTGGCCACTAACTTGATGTTGAATGCTGTAGGAGCTCACCACCCAGGACCTACTTAGCAGACAGCTCTGAAGGCTGGGGGCCTTCAGGGTTAGCAGCAAACCGTATCTAGCACTGGCATGGATTTGGCATTGCCCATGAATCCTGGTCCTATCTAAAGGAATTCGCTTCTGGATGAGAGAACAGCTTGCAGATGGGATGACTCATGATGTCCAAAGGTTACTGGGGATCAGTCTGGAGTGTGGCCCTCGTGGCTGTGAGGTGTCAAACCGAGATATCTCAGGCTTACTTCATAGCTTTGCTTGGCTTTGCCTTTGGCTCCAAAGTTTGTTTGTTTGTTTTATTCTGACTGCCAGTTCTATCTCTCTGTGAAGGAGCCCTTGGGGTGGCTCTTGTGGGAACTGTTGGGGTAGGAGGAGAAATGGAGGTGAGAAATGGAGGTGAGACGTGGCGAGTCAGGCTCCAGCAGAGCTCCTGTCATTTCATCTGAAGGGTGTATTTATGTCCTGAGCAACCAACCTCAGCAACTGGTTGGTGTGAGGAAGGAATAAGGCAGCGCTGGAGAGGTCAAATGAGTGAAATCCCAACGGGTTATCCAACAGAGTTGAACCGTGTCTTCTTCCTTTCCTGGGGAAGGATTGAATAAATACACTTTTGATGCCTTTTGACTCCCTTCCCTTAAAAAAAAAAAAAAAAAAAGCGGTAATCTCTCTGTTCCCTGGAAGGGATAACATACAAAATTAAAACAAAATAATCCTTAAGGCTTTAAGGAACATATACAGCAGTTTGGGATAATGGAAATGCTCGAGGCAGTTGAGGCTTCAGGGGATGTAGCAGATGAACATCGTGGGTACCTTTGTCAAATGCAGCTGGGCTACACTTAACGTATTCATGGTATCCACCATCTCCTGAGTTGGTCTGAGCAGTGGAAGCTGAGATGGGCCTAATCCTGCTGCTAGTCCTCAGCTGTGTCCCCGAGCTCTGGTCATCCAATGTCAAGCATGAGGACAGGCTTAGAGAGATTAGGTTGTTCAGCTTGAGGAAGAAAAAGCTCTGGGGAGACCTTCTAGCTTCCAGTACTTAAAGGGGGGTACAGGAAAGCTGGGGAGGGACTCTTTATCAGAGAGGGTAGTGATAGGACAAGGGGTAATGGTTTTAAACTGACAGAGGGTAGATTTAGATTAAATATAAGGAAGAAATTCTTTACCGTGCGGGGGGTGAGGCGCTGGCACAGGGTGCCCAGAGAAGCTGTGGCTGCCCCCTCCCTGGAAGGGTTCAAGGCCAGGTTGGATGGAGCTCTGAGCAGCCTGGTCTGGTGGAAGGTGTCCCTGCCCATGGCGGGGGTGGTGGACAAGGTGATCTTTAAGGTTCGTTCCAACCAAATCCGTTCTAGGATCCTCTGTCGTTCTGCGTTGTGAAGCTGGGTCTGACATCGTGTTGCCTGACACGAGGTGCCAGGACTGTGGTGCAGATGTGTTGCTGCCCATGATCTTAATGACAAATCTTAGGGCAGATAATTTGATTTCCATCAAACCAGGTTGTCCCCTCATTGAAAAAGATAATTGGGGGGGTGGGTGGGGAGGGGGAAGAGAGAGAATGTAAAGCCTAGGTCAGCACCTGGTGACAACTCCTTGCTCCACTGCTGTATTATGGATGTCTCCAGTCTGCGTGCAAATTAAACTTTAGTTTCTCCTGCTATTCTGTGGGTACTTTCCAGCCGCTCTAATTGGCAGGAGTCCTGGTGGTGACTGTTTTGTGGCTAAAGCTGGTCTTGAAGATGGAGTGACTTGGTCCGTGTTCCAGCAGGTGGGCTGTGGAGCACGTCCGGTGATCCAGCAAAGCTCTGCAAGAATCTAGGAGCTTTTGCTTCAATACCCACTGGGGCTATAACTTAACTCCTAGCTACAGACCCCTTATTTCTCTGAAGAAATCCATGCCAGCATACTCCTGGTCTGTGCCTGTGCCTCTGGGCAGGGATGCAGC